TGATACTTTCCTAAACAGCCAAACCCCACTTTTGTGTTATTCCTTGCCCTGGCAGCACATTTTGTGGCTCTGTGAGACTTTGTTTCAAAATAAGTTCAATTCAAGGGCTTCTACTATGAGTAAAAAAGCTTTGTTGCAGAATTTTTAGGACTTTGAGTATATCTTAAAGGATGCCACACAAGATAATTGAGACTCAAATGCAGTTTTATTAACACATTGAAAAATATGCAGAATGCAGATGCGCAGAATATAGTATCATTAAGCATACATTTTTCAAAAGTTTATGCAGGGGGAATTCTACAAGGTTTTCATGGTGCAAGTGTGTAAAACTACTGAAAAATAAAGTTGCATTCAAATTACAATTGTTTGAGATGAATTTTCAAGATTATGGCAACACTTGCGATTTTGATTGTGGGAAAGAAGGAAAACACCATAGCAATTTCAATTGTGCACAAACTTGAATGTGTAGCAGCAATTTTGATTTTGATTGTGCAAAATGTTGTTTTATAGCAAGTTTTGATTGTGATTGTGCTGCTGAAATTTTGATGCCAATTAACAACCCTGGTCTTGACATATTTCAGACTCAATTTCATTGCAAAAGGGCCACAGTTTTAGAGTACTGTACATCTGAAACAGCTAAATCAAGACCTGTTACAAATTTCTGCAGTACCAGGTTCAAATGTTGCCATACCATGGCATTTAGTGTGATACTTTCCTAAACAGCCAAACCCCACTTTTGTGTTATTCCTTGCCCTGGCAGCACATTTTGTGGCTCTGTGAGACTTTGTATCAAAATAAGTTCAATTCAAGGGCTTCTACTATGAGTAAAAAAGCTTTGTTGCAGAATTTTTAGGACCTTGAGTATATCTTAAAGGAAGCCACACAAGATAATTGAGACTCAAATGCAGTTTTATTAACACATTGAAAAATATGCAGAATGCAGATGCGCAGAATGTAGTATCATGAAGCATACATTTTTCAAAAGTTTATGCAGGGGGAATTCTACAAGGTTTTCATGGTGCAAGTGTGTAAAACTACTGAAAAATAAAGTTGCATTCAAATTACAATTGTTTGAGATGAGTTTTCAAGATTATGGCAACACTTGCGATTTTGATTGTGGGAAAAAAGGAAAACACCATAGCAATTTCAATTGTGCACAAACTTGAATGTGTAGCAGCAATTTTGATTTTGATTGTGCGAAATGTTGTTTTATAGCAAGTTTTGATTGTGATTGTGCAGCTGAAATTTTGATGCCAATTAACAACCCTGGTCTTGACATATTTCAGACTCAATTTCATTGCAAAAGGGCCACAGTTTTAGAGTACTGTACATCTGAAACAGCTAAATCAAGACCTGTTACAAATTGTAAGCATTTTGAAAAAATGCAGAGAAAAGTTCTGAAAGAAATAGTAATTACATTTCATTAAACATGGCTTTGTACTAGTATAAATTCTTTACTTCCTTCTGATTCAACTTATTTTCTCATACCTGTCCATTCATCCAAATAGAGGAACACATCTTCTAGAACTGTATACTGTTTACTTGGAAGAAAGGCATACAATTTAACATGTGTAGTCAAAGAATTTCCAAGATGTATGCCATGTTGTGCATTTTTTGAACACTACCTAGCCTTCTCAACAAAAATCTTTAGTCCTTCAAGAAATTGGACCTTTCAATTTTGTTTTATTATTCTTTTTATCATTTATGAAATAATTGCTATATAGCCTATGAAGTAAATCAGGCCCAGAGGTTTATCATAACAAGATGACTGTCTAAAATGAGTTAATAAAAATGAGATTTCTATAACATGGTGCCTATGGAGAAACTGCCAGGACCATGAAAAATTTATAAGAAATATGTATTGTCATGAGATTCATTGTGATGGAATTTGACCTTATCTATACTTGATTATATTCTAGCCTCAGATATCATTTGTTCTCCGCAAATTATATTTTTTAATTGTGTGATTAAAAATTCTTATTTCCTTTTTACAAGGAAATATTAGGCCCAGTTTTTGCCCAGCATCAGGCCACACTGTGGTTTAATCTGGCCCTGAATGCTACCCACATCATATATGACAGTATGACGGGAAACAAGACACCCTTTAATCAAATTAAATCTAGTTCAGCCATATGTTTTTCCAAAGCAGTACAGTGTATAAATATAAAAGCATTACAGAGAATAAGAGAACATTTCCTGATGCAGATTATTTTGTTGTAAATTATTCTACTGTATTTTGTTATTATTCTCAGAACTTGTGTTTTTGCATGTAATTCTGTAGTTTTAAAAATGTTGGCATCTTCTCTGCTATGGGTATAGAAGTACTGTATATGCAGTATAGAGCCAAATCCTCAATTTGAATACAATTTATAAATATGTATTGTGCAAGCTGTCTGAATTGCTAATAATGCAGTTTGCACTGCCCAGTGAGCAAGAAATTCTCCAAAAGATGTCCAAAACTCATCCAAATGAGTTCTATACTGACATCTTTTGGAGAAAATACCCCCAAAAATTGTGCTCTGGCGGACATATTTGGAGAACTTGTCTGCCAGAGCACAAACTGTCAGACACTGCTGGCGCCAGAAAAGTGCGGACAAGTTCTCCAAACTTGTCCGCGCAGTGTGTCACTGGCGCCAGGGTCTTGCAGACAAGTTTGGAGAACTTCTCTGCCACACATTTCTGGCACCAATGTCTGGAGAAGTTCTCCAAACTTGTCCACATATTTTGCAGAACTTGAGGACAAGTTTGGAGAACTTGTCCGCAAGTTCCTGGCAACCAGTGTATAAACCTAATTTCCACAGTCACCCCACATGTAGTGGGCTGTAGCTGTCTGCCTATGGGGTTCAACTTCCCGTCCAGAGGTCCTGGGTTTGATTCCCAGTTAGGTAGCAACTTCTGAATTCCTTAAAGTAAATCTTCAGCAATACACTAGCATAGGTAGGTATAGGTTAGCTAGGTAGTGGAATAGGTAATTAATTAATTGTAAAGAGGAAATTATGTGCAGACATCACTAACTAGATAATATGCATAACCAGGTAATATGGATATCAATAAAGCATCTATAGAAGAGCTATATAGAGCATATAAAGGAATAATTACAAGATATGTGAAATTCCCAGGTGGGTGGACAATTTTATTACAATTTAGCAGAATTAAAAAAGAAAAGGAAAAGTTTTAGAGGAAATTGGTATATCTTTTGGATAAAAATTGGACACATTGCCCCATCTTTATCCAAAAGATGTCCCAAATCCCTCCAAAACTGGTCTGGTTTTGATCCATAAGTCATCCACTTTTGGATGACTTTTGGATCAGAATCAGACATGTTGTCCAATTTTCATCCAAAGCAGCTTGTCCAAAACTTGTTTTTGGCAAGATTCTGGGATAAGTTGCTTTGGATGAAAATTGTTGGACCCAAAATGGACATTTTTGTGCTCACTGGGTGTATATGGGACTTCCGGATTGCTGGTTCCAGACCAAATAACAATAATAACGTATTTCCAGCCAACACCCTCAGCACAAGCTAAGATGCAGCTCAAAGCTGACGTGAAGGCAATTCTTGCAGATGAATTGAGATTCCATTGCATGCTGAGTGGAGATAATTGCTCCGAATGCCTCATTCAGTTATGCAGTACAAAAGAAGTGTTTATACCTCTGAAACTAAATTTAGAGCTCATCCAAACAGGCTCATCCTCTATATTTTCTTGCGGATTTTCAAAATAAAAGCTATACATATGCACTGTATATCTTGATACTTTCAAAGAGCATGTCAACGGATATTGAAGCATGAATATATTCATGCCTCATCCGTTGACATGCTCTTTCATACAGCACATGACCATTAGTATTTTGTTCTTAAGAAATCTTTCAAATCGGTCATCCATGCTGTGCCATGATGCTGTCCACATGCATGCAGCCTTCCATCCACTTTTCTCCAACAACACTCAAAAGGCAAGGCCAAGGGTACAATAACAGATACAGGGATTAATCTCAGACAGAAATTAGCCAGGTGGGTTATGGATTTTGAACCTATCCCTATATTGCCGGTGCCCATGGATTCACTAACAGCGTGCGGGTGTATCGTATATACAGCATACTGACTGGATATTTCCTATTCTCGTCGTACATTTTAACAATTCAATATCTTTAAAATGTACGCTGGATAGGTTTACCTAGCTACTTGCCATCAGCAGACTGCAATTTTAAAATCTTGCCAATACTCCGAAGCGGCAAGCTGATGACCGTGATGCTGGGAAAACCTACCCATACTGTATACCGTATCGCTAGCTTAACGACTGGACCTGCTCTGCCGCATATGTCCGCGACAGGGGTGACATGTTAACCAGCGCTTGGCGCTGTGATCTTTGTGGCGTCGGCTCTTTCACGACCCGACCGGCCATCTGATCAAGATGTCTGCCGTCAATTATTGTGACGTTTTCGGAAATGGGAAATGTACTTGTTCATATTTCTGTCTTGTTGCCACGGGCTTCGAAATGAGCGACGAAGAGTAAAATGGTGACGGGGGAAAAGTGTTCGTTCCTGGCTCATTTTTCGTGGTTCAGGGATTTAAATTTTCGTTTGCTTCTATCGGTGAGGTTTTCGCGGGAAAGTGATCGTCGGTGATCTGGCTCACAAGTTCACTTCTTTGGTCGATAATTATTGATGCCCTAGGAAGAGAAGCCACCGATATAGGTCATGATTCGCCCATCTTACGTTTCTGTCGGACTGATGTCGGTATCTTCGTGCTACTTTAATTTTGAAGAAAGTGTAAGCTTTCGGACGTTCTTGAGAAAGCTAGGACATTGAACAGTTACGCATTGCTAAGTGAAAAATGCTTAGGTTCTTTCGTGTTCTGACCAGTAGTATCGAATTTCGTGTATTAGCGGTCAACTAGACTATGTACGGTGCGCGCGTTCCCTTTTCCGCTGTTCGTGGAACGTGAAGAATCCCTTTTTGATGCAAGTTCGGACGAAAGCATGGAATGAATTGAAAAAAAATGTTTCTTTACCAGGCTCTTGTGGGTCGCCGTCTTCGTTGGTCGGTGTGCCGAAATTGTCATCACCGTCGATTGCTCCAGATCCGCCTCCTGAACGCTTCACCTATTCTACAGCTGTAATTGAGGTGTCGACGTTAGTCATTTTTCTTGATCTCATCGGTGAATGCCGGCGGACGTACCACCAATGACTAATGGCTACCCTTTGGGTGGCACCTCCAATGGCGTGATGGACGCTCAAGGGGTACGTGATTTCAATGTTCGTAATCTTTCACAGTCTGACCGATGTTTTTATATTTTAGGATGCCGCAATGCATGGAGACAGGATCGAGAAGAAGTGAGTTCTTGAATTTCGGGTGTTCCGACCAATTTTCAGCCTTATTTTTTTTCAGGGAAGGAAAGGATCGTGAGAAACATAAGCATAAGGACAAGAAGAAAGATAAGCATCGCGACAAAGATCGGGAAAAGCACAAGAAGGATAAGAAGAAGGATAAGCATAAAGGTGACGCTCACAGATTACGTGATATAAATTCATTTATTAAGAACATTTTCTTCTCAAAATTTCTCAGACAAGGAACGGAGCAAAGACAAGGAGAGAAGCAAGGATAAGAAGAAGGATAAGCATAGAGACAAAGAGAAATCGAAAGACAAGGTATGTTGAGAATGTGTGCTTGAATTTTGGAGTTATGCATTCGATTATTCTTCTCTGAAGGACAAGAAATCCAAAGAAAGCAGAGGGCACGGTGAAAATGACGTGAAAAAAGATCGCAAGGACGAAATCGATTCCGCCATCGACACATCGCACGTGAAGTCCGAGTACGATTCCGCGGGGTCGCAGAATGATTCTGCTGCTGATTCCGACAGTCAGTACGGCTCACCAGTAAGTTCATCCGCAGAAGTATCTGACGAAGATCTTCTTGGCGAGAATGTAGCATCCATCGCGTGCAAATTTTCTTCTTCATGTAGACACGTTCAAAGAAAAAGCCGAAGTATTCCGACGACGAGGATGACGAAGATTATGGTGCCAAGCCGTCTAAAGGGAAGAAGCGTAAAACCGGTGATGATGCGGATGACGTCAAGCCAGTAAGCTCGATATATGCAATTGGTCATTCATGCCTTTGCGATAATAGTGAGATAAATTTATAACCAGGCCGCCAAAAAAATCAAGTCGGAAAAGAAAACGCCCATTAAATCTGAACCAGAATCTCCTGTCAAGAAAGGTCGAAAGAAGAAGAATGAAGAGGAGGAGCAGCAAGTTTGGAAGTGGTAAGAAAATACGTATTTTAATTATTTTCAAGAAGCTCGATTTTATGGTTCAGGTACTGCAGCATATTGGCACAGTATTCATATCATTCGCGCTTACACCCGAAGTCCCTAGTTAGGCTTCCGTGTGCGTAGGTGTCGCGGAATGTTCATCAGTTTCTCCCGTCAAGTCTGACCTAATACAGATTTTAGAGTAATGTTACAATTACGTGACATAGCAGGATTCAGTTTCTGTATGTAATGATGTCTAGACAGATTTTAATGATGGTAATCTGCCGAATTCGTCGTACTTCACGCGTTTTGGAGTGGGGATATGATGCATGCATTCGAAATTCCGTGGAAAATTCAAGTGTGTAGCGCCTTGTGTCGCATTTTACAATAAGCAGATTGTTCATTGAACCGTGGAAATAACGTGTGTGCGAATCAGTGATGGGGTTCATGTCCACAACAGCTATTCGGAATGCATACCCACCAAGCACTGTAGGCTTGAGGGTAATGCTTTTTATTCAGATTCTCAATGTTTTCTGGGATTTCAACCATAAGCTATTCCTCGCATTCATGTGTTGCGCGAGATCGCGAGTACGAATTCTTGTGAAGAACAGTAATGTATATGGGATATGAAGCATCGTTGACGTTATGCGTACGTTGAGTTATCGCCACCCGCATTCATTTTCTGACTCATTTTGCTGCCGAATAAGCTGTAGGTTTTGATACGGTATTGATTTTCTTTGAAAGTGGCATATTTGATAACGTCACGCTTCACATTTGAAGGTGGGAAGAAGAAAAGAAGGACGATGGCGTGAAGTGGAAATATCTTGAACACAAGGGTCCAGTTTTTGCTCCCCCGTACGAACCCTTGCCACCGAGTGTCAAATTTTTCTACGAGGGACGCGAAATGAGGCTGAGTGAAAACGCTGAGGAAGTCGCCACATTCTATGCCAAGATGCTCACTCATGAGTATACGACAAAGGAAGCTTTTAATAAAAACTTTTTCAAGGATTGGCGAAAATCCATGACGGAAAAGGAGCGAGATACCATCACGGATCTGTCGAAATGCAACTTTCGTCAGATGAACGAATATTTCGTTCAAAAATCTGAGGAACGCAAAGCTATGTCCAAGGAGGAAAAGAAGGTACATTAATACTCTGAACGTCCGCTTGGCAAATTCTTCTTGATGTTTTGTTCCGTCTTCACAACGTGTTAGCATTTTATTCTCGTTCGCTTTTACCTGAGAAGTCTTTTTTTCTTCTTCTTACAGGCGATAAAAGAAGATAATGAAAAATTAGTGGCTGAATATGGCTTTTGCACAATTGATGGTCATAAAGAGAAAATCGGCAACTTCAGAGTTGAGCCACCGTCGTTGTTCCGAGGGAGAGGCGAGCATCCGAAGATGGGAAAAGTCAAGCGGCGGATAGAACCCGAAGATGTAATCATCAATTGCTCGAAAGACTCCATGATCCCGAAAGCTCCCGATGGACACAAGTGGAAAGAGGTAAGTTTGAAGCGCTGTTTGTTACGGGCAGGTTTTTTCCAACTGCCTCATTAATGAACTCTTCTGTACAGGTCCGTCACGATAACACAGTGACCTGGCTGTGCTCGTGGACTGAGAATATTCAAGGACAGATCAAGTACGTGATGCTGAACCCGAGCTCGAAATTGAAAGGAGAAAAAGATTGGCAGAAGTACGAAACTGCTCGGAAGCTTCACAGAATAATTGACAGAATTCGGGAAGACTACTGGAACGATATGAAATCGAAAGAAATGCGAATTCGTCAGCGCGCTGTCGCCATGTACCTTATCGATAAAGTGAGTACAGTACATTTTTCCAATGCTGCAGCAAACCCCTCATATTCCTACGTTGTTCAACGTTTTTACCGTGGAAAAAATTGCCAGTACCCCCTGAAAAAGAACATATGAAGTTTATTTATCTCATATTCCATGATGTCCAAATTCATGACTGTAACAGCAAAGGTTCGATCGCCGTGCGTGGAGACTCAGAGCCGTTTTTGAAAGCGTTACTTTTTTGTTGAAGATTCCGGATTGTACTGTTCAAAGATTTAAAATCGATGCAATTTTTCTTGGCACATCCTTCGTCATATTTACTCGAATGTACCCGCTGTATGCCTTCAGCTTGCGTTGAGAGCTGGTAACGAGAAGGAAGAAGGTGAAACGGCAGATACAGTGGGTTGCTGCTCTCTCCGGTACGAGCACGTGAAGCTCCACGAGCACAAAGGCGGCAAGGATCACGTCATCGCCTTCGACTTCCTCGGGAAGGATTCCATTCGTTATCAGAACGAAGTCTCCGTTGAAAAGCGGGTGTTCAAAAATCTGATGCTTTTCATGGAGAACAAGAACGACGGCGATGACCTCTTCGACCGGCTCAACGTAAGTACCCTTTCATTTTGATACGCTCCTTCTTGTTAGTAAGAAACGAGTGTATTCACCCGTGGCAATTGACTTCGAGGGCTGTAATGTACAAATTGACGGAGGAAATGAGAGTCAAAGCAATTTTTTTATTTATCTCGGGAGGGGCATCAGGAAGGCTGGTCTCAAAACCGAAATTTATGAAAAATGTGTGTCTTCTCGAATTTGTTTTATTTGGTTTCTTCAGTACTCATTCTTGTTTTCCACTACTGTATTTTTTGTTAACCCTTTCGATTTGCAGTTCTGTATAAGGACTAAGAAAAGGGGATGCTGTATTATGTAATTCTCTTAAGACTGTAATTCAGCTAAAACGTGTGAGGGGTAGCGAGAATTGATACACGGGCTGAGAGAAATAATCAAACTTGAATATTTTTGTTGGAAATTTTCGAATTGTAGTCGTTTTCTTTCTTGTGTGCGGGATTATTGATCTGAATATGGTTTGAACCTGCAGACATCAATTTTGAACAAGCATTTGCAGTCAATAATGGACGGATTGACGGCGAAGGTCTTCCGTACGTACAACGCATCTCGCACTTTGCAAGAGCAACTTGACAAGTTGACGGATCCGGATGACACCCCCGCTGGAATCGTAAATTCCCAAATCTCTCTGGCTGAATTGCTTCCGTTTTTCTATCATCGCTTCCTTTTTCCAGTTGTTGTCGTATAATCGTGCTAACCGCGCAGTTGCAATCCTTTGTAACCATCAACGGGCGGTACCGAAGTCGCACGCCAAATCCATGGAAAATCTGCAGAACAAGATCAGTGCCAAAGAAGAAGCTATTGCGGAAGCAGAAAGGGAGCTGAAAGCCGCCAAGAGAGACGCCAAAGACTCCAGATCGCAGAAGGATAAGATTGTCTTGGACAAGAAGTCTAAGGCTTTGGAACGACTGAAGGAGCAGTTGCAGAAGCTCCAGGTTCAGGCCACGGACAAGGAGGAGAACAAGGAAATTGCTCTCGGAACGTCCAAGCTGAACTACCTGGATCCTAGAATCAGTGTGGCCTGGTGAGATTTCACGACTTCGTCTTATAATTTATGTATACTTTTTATTAGAAAACGACGTTTTCTTCGCTCAACCGTTTCAACTTGATATTTTGAGCTGAGCATGTCGTTCGCGGAATATAAAATTGCGGCACGAGTTCCCTATGCTCAGTTTCACGACCAAATCAGTGAGATTGTTTTCCATGTGTTCGATTTCTTTCGATGAAAGTATTGTACGTCGTAGGAGCACATGTATTAGAAAGAAGGTTCTAATGCTGGGTAGAATTCCAATCTTCGTTGTCTCATATGTAGCGTAAAATGTCTTAAACGGGGAAAAATAATTCAAGGTAAAGATGTTCGAAAGCAGAAAACCGGTTTCGAATCGGTCCTCATCGTTTTTTTCTTCAAATTCCATCTTGAGAAACTCGTATATTCTACCGTAGTAATGCGCATGAGCGATGATCAGCTGATTCTGTATTACCAGGTGTCAATTGAGACTGTTCGTGACATCTACTCGTGCGAATACGCGTCATTGTTGCGAATTTGAGTGCGAAAATTTGCAGATCGGAATCCTATGATTCATCACCGCATACTGTAGTTATTTCTTCGAATTCCCTCCGTGAGCAGTACCATGAACAAAGAAGTGTATGGAGTGTTTTCATGTCTATCTTTGGTTTGATTGGGAAGGTTAGGATTCTTAGGTAGTGAAGGTACTGTACTGAACTTTAGGGACGTCTGCCATTCCGTGTTGTAGGGAAGAAACGATTCAGAAAGCCTGGTTCGTGTAGGTTCCGTTATTTTCGAGGAGACACGCTCGCAGGGGAAAGCCGCAATCCTAAGCTCGAGTATGCTAATGAGTGTTGTCCTCCCGTACGTTTCAGGTGCAAGAAGTACAACGTGCCGTTGGAGAAAGTATACAGCAAAACACATCGACAAAAGTTCCGATGGGCCATCGACATGGCGGGTCCTGATTTCGTGTTTTAACGCCTGCAATGATGTGAGGGAAGGGTGAGCCACGGGAAAAAACGCGTGTCGCCCAACCGGTGGGCTGTAAGCAGGGAAACTTTCCCACTCTTCCCGGCCCCTCACGAGTTTCCTCTTCGTTGCCATTTTTAGCGGTGGCAGTTTGCTGATTTCCATCCTTGAGTTTTTTTTGTTTTGTTTTTTCCGTCGCGCCGATAGGAACGGAATCGTTCACGAACGGGAAAGATTTCTAGCTGCAGCTACCGTGATTTCGCGCGTATGTTTTGTTATTCCTTTTCTCTTTTTTTTTTTCGTTCCACGTGTATTTTGTGTGAATGGTTTCGCGTATTCAGTTTTTTTTAGGTATAGGTCATCTCGTTTGGAACCCGTGCACTCTTGTAATAAAGATTTAACTCGGTGTGTGGGAGTTTGTGAGAATGCCATTCCGATTAATTTAATCCGTGAAGAGCGCGCGGTTTTCCCGAACCTTCTTGTAAAATTTGACCTCAGATATGTGATATATTTTGTTCATCTGTACGTCTCGAATTTTAAGTTGAGTTCCTCGGCTCCCGTTGGATGTCCGTGGGACGCAAGTCGGACGAAATTTTTGATTCTGTGGAAATAGCGACGGAAAGAGTTGGTTTATTTTGATTTGTTCCTTTCGATTCGACGGATAAACTTGATTGATCAGAGGTCGCGGCCGAAAGACGCCGGAAGTTCAAGTGAAATGCTATCGTAGTGGTGTATTTATGGCGTAAGAATGGCTCCTTGTCGGTTTGTACCGTTTAGTGAATAGGTTTTCTTGGACGTTTTGTTCCGAAGTTCTTCGAGAAAAAGGTGTGGATGGATGGTTGTATCGTGGCTGAGCGGATTTAAATAAAGAGAGATGATCTGCGAGATCCCCTCGAGTGGTTCCCACTTCTTGAATTTCAGGAAGAATGATTTTGGTTGAGTGAGCCTCAGAAACGATTCTAATGGACAGGTACTGTACTTCTAGACGATTTCAGCAGGTAGGTTCGAATTTTTTTTGGGCTGGATATCATTCTTGCAGGGGTTCGGGTATGCTGTATACAAATCGGATGGAGTTGCAGTGAAAAAAAAGGGGTACAGTATTGAACAGAATTAGAGCACGAAGTACTGTATGTACTCCGGGGCAACGAATTCTGTTGCCTTGTTTTTCAATGAAGCGAAGGTCTGATTGTCTGAACTCCTTGAAAACAGCGGAGTAGCTTTGAGGGAGGAAGTAATCGAACACTAAAATTTAGTTCCCTCAGAATTGTCTGTTGCATTTGGACTTCAATTAAAACTATTTCTTGCAAAATCATGCTGATATAATTCCGTAAACAAAAACAGTCGTGCAAAAGCGACGCTGGCTCAAGTTGAACTGCAGTAGTATAAAAGGGGATTAGATTCAGAACAATTTTTGCGTGAAGCCCTGCATTTCTGAATTTAATAAAAGAAATATTGAATGGTTTCAGCCATCCCAGAAATGTACTTGAACAAACCATAACGTTTTTATACAGTATTGTGGTGGTTTTCTTCAGCGTGGCCTGCATATAAGTAAGCTATTTTCATTCAACTTCCATGGCTCCAATCCAAAAAGAAATCTTCGATTGGGCTAGCATTTCCAGTTCCTGAACATGAGAAAGCATGCATGTGAGCTTGATTTCCCAACTAAAATTTCAATTTTCTTCTTACAGGATACAAAGCAAATAACATGGTTTCCGCAATCTGCACACATTATTTGTGAAAATTTTTTAAAAATTGGCTTCATCCATAAAAATTGTGCCCAGGTAAAAAAAAAAATCATGTCTGGTGATGACAGTGACAGCTAATTGCTCTCCTTTGTCAGGTCTCCATATGCACCATATTACAATTCATATGAAATAAGGATTTTGCCGTGAATGTTGAAAATGTCAATAGCAGCAAGTGCCCAAAATTGCTAGTCAGATACACAGTAGCATTGAATAAAGTTCTTCGTATTTTTCACCCATACTGCTCAATCTATTTTGAAACTTCAGGTTGTGCAGTTTTAGACATGAGAATGCTTTTCAGTTCTGTCACTTCTGTGCAAGTTGAGTAATTCAGGAACTACTGCTGGGAATATTAAAGTCTATCCATTTGCACAGTGTACAGCTACTGTAACAGCTAACACACTATCAATGCAGGTAAATTATGAAGCATCAGCAGGAACTTGAATCTGAATGGGTAGGAATTCATCACCTCATTAACCCATTACCCCCATATCTTGGTGAAGAAATATCACCTAAAAATAATTATAATGCACCAGTGTAAGTCATCTTTATATTTCATATAGGATATTAATGTGCTGGAGCCTTGTCTAACAAACAAATGTTTTGGTTATATATTTGTTAGTTGGATCGCTTTGCCTCTTTATTGAAAATTACTCTTGAAAAAGAACCTGCTAAATAAATGTTAGAAATTTTCATGGCAACTGCAGCTGCCTAACAGCAGCAGTGTCCACATACCAGAAAGGACAATGATATTCACATTGTCCTCCTAAACTTGAAGTCAGTTGATTAAAATTCTGGGTTGAGAGAGATAATTTTTCTCATTCAAGTTTCGTCTGTGAGTTTATTCCAGAGGGGTTAATTCGACAAAGGAATTTTGGTTTTGGTTCCCTCGCGCAGTGCATTTTTATTTATTTATTTTTGGATGCGAATGCAAATTTTTGCTTTTCATACACAATTTATTTTTATCAAAATGTCACCCTGGGACAACAGAGCGAGCATGAATAAAATCAAACTGCTCTTTCTCAACCCTAAATTTTCCCTGGAAAGTGCTAATAAGAGCAGACATTTTTGTCATCCAATTTTTTCTTAGCCCTTTCCAAAATAAAATTTTTGAGACAATATGGAGTTGATAGATAATCTTTTGATGAGAAATGCTCTCTATTTTTTAGCCGTCTTCCGAAAAAAATTGCCGATGAAATATTTTTCAAATTGGCAAAGAAAGAATGAAGCCTATGGTACATCTAGGAATTTACACTTCTCAACAGCGGCCACGGGATGTATATCAGCATGCATATGTACTATACTACGAAACAGAGCTGAGTAATCTTCCAGTCGATTAAAAATTCATTCATCACATTTATTCCGCACACTCCACAAAAAATTACAACCGATCAATTTTTTGGCTCTGAGAAATTGTACACAAATGTTTCTCCCGAATATCTGCGGGTGATTGATTGACCTAATCCGTTAAAGAGAACCAATGAGAATGCTTGACTCGGAATGGAGAAAAAAAGGGGATCACGTGAATGGGTTCACATAGCGGCCCAAATGTATCAAAATGCCTGTTGGGTGATGTCTGACTGCATAAAGGAAGTCTCTGTTGAAATTCACAGTGAACTTGGGCTCTTCCTTGTTCACTGAGTAGCTTGGGTCCTGCTTGGGTTCCCTCGCAGTCGCCACTGGTTCATGTTGTACTTGTTGGGAGTAGTTGGTGGATGGGTGCACTTTCTCAGTGACTGTCTGGGTGATGGTGAATTCATTCACCTGCAAAAAATAAAATCGATCATGAGATCACAAAGAAAAAAAATCTTGAACACGATGCGCTTCTGGAGGCAGGAATATGATAAATTATAAGTACCTGAACGATATCTTTGAGATGGAGATCTGTTAGACCATTGACACCAGAGAAGTCTGCCAAATTGGAGTCAAACATGGTGTTTGCTCCCAGGATTCCCAAAACGTCTTCCAAGTGTAGCACAAACTTGTTGGACATGACTGGCAGTCTCACTCTAGTTCTTCTGATGACCATTTTCCTCAACATTCTGCCAAGTTTGTCAGCAGTCAATTGCTCTAGAATGATATGAGCCAGATTTCACAATTAAAACTTTCAAAGGTTCAGTCATGCTCAATGTGCCAGAATTTCATTCCGTTTTGCTCATGTTTTTGACTATAATGATAAAAATACTCTAAAACTTTGCATAAGTGATGAGAAATAAGCTGCATCGGTATATAATTAAAAACAAATTAAGTAAAATGTACTCAAATTTTCAATCAATTAAAACTTTATCCATAATTACCTATTGGTTCCTGCGGCTATTGCAAATTTTGAAAAGAAGTAATGTACATCTTAATCATAAGCCATGAAATACTGTACCTACTTCAAACATATTTTGAAATTAAAAATGATCGTCCATGTTCATATTTAAAATCTTGGTAACCAGCGCAATAATTATTTAAAGGCTAGTTTCTCTTTTCCTTATTTATGGCAAATGTATTTAAGAAATACGGTAATAAAATTTTCTCAAATTCTCAGGCAATAAAAAATGAAAGAGTTGCCATAATTCACTCATGGACCATTTACAGTAGAAGTTCTTCAATGAGTGTGCATTCATTTGAGCTGGTCTTGCTTTTTGGCATTCGTATTTTTTTGCATAATTTCAATCAAAAATTTTTCAACGGACAATATTTTCGGAGCAATACATAATTGAATTCTCGTACAATGTGAAAGAAAAAAATTAAATGACTTTCATTTCAGCTGTAATACATTTTTGTATATCAAGGGTTCTTGAAATGCCACATTATTTAGGATTCAAAATGGGTTGAACGATTTGGACGCCATTCACGTCCACGGAAAAAAAGGGAATTTGAATAGTTTCAATCATTACATTCGAACAGTTCATCTGTTAGAGATCTTGAGCTAAAAATTCATTGCAAGGATTCAGCATACAGTAAATAGTGACGTAAAAAAGGCAGCAATGCAGTTTTGTATTTATGCTTGACTTTATTCAGAATGAAAAATATCACACTTATGAAGTGTCACTATCAATTATTTCTGAATTTAGTCATACATATTTAAACTCGGGCAAAGTTACGTCAAATACGATTATCAATCGTTATTATGTTGATCAGTTTAATTCTTTCTTCTAAGAAAAAAATCAGAATCGCGACAAAAATCCTTCATGAAACCATGAAAAATGAGAGGAACGTTACGTTAAACGGGTTAAATGTACCCACCTTCTAATTGGCGAATCCCGGATCTAGAAAATGATGATGGTTCTCCCGGAAGCATGAGGACAAGGCCGAAATCACCAGTCGAATACGGCATTTCAACCAAAGTGACATCAGACTCCTGGTCGTATCCTATGTACAGATCTGCAACTTGCTCTATGCCAATCACTTTGACCAGTCTTCTGTGAGTCGTTGGCAATTTGATGAAGTCGTACGCATCCAGCAGTGTCGTGGAATTCTCCCACTTCCATTTTCCCTATAAAACGAAAACGAAACACGCACACAAACTTCAGTATACACAGTAAGGTACTGCGATGTATAGATGATAAAAATATGAAGGGACACTTTTGATAGATCCAACGAACATCGCAGTTGAAAAAAAAAAAACTTCAGAATTTCTTCAGTCGATTAGATAATACACATTTCCTAATTCAGAGCCCCAAATATACTGTAGATACCGCCGAAGATGTTGAGCACGCAGCACGAAGTAAATAAAAAGTAAATGAACAAATTGTTTTACACTACTGTATTTGTTTTTCTGGATATGGATATTCTCGAAATCTCCTTGCTCATACTTTCAAAATTTGATTTTACAAATCCACGAAGAAATGCTACGTAAAGATGTGGAAATGCTGCGAATAAATACTATCTAACATAGAGTTGGCGTGTTCAATATAGGGACAGTGAGAAAAAAAGGTTAGAACCCAGACGAGAGGCTAATTTTGGCTGGGTTGGAGCTATTGTTTACTGCTTCACAAAGCCCCTGTTTCGTACACATTTTTAATGCATTTGAATGAAATGGGATTGCAACAGTTTAATATCTTGGGAACTTATTCTCCCACAGAAAAAACCAGCAAAGTTATTTTCGAGAAAAATGATTGTTTTTTTTAAATCACGGACTTAAATCACGAAATGAATACCAATCAATGGTATTGACCAACGAGCGTTATTCCGTCTTTCTCCTATTTTTTGACTCTAATAGTCTGAACTGTGATGAGCATATATTCTTGGGAATGATTTCGAAATGATCTCCGATGTAATGAGGAATTCGGAATCGAATATCCATTCTATACATATAGCTTCAAATTGGGACACTTACCGTATTATCTATTTATTAATCAAATAAATAAATTTTTCCATTTTTGATACAGTACATTTTGGCACTTGGCACTTTTTGAATAGAGTCACATCATCCCGGGTGATTTAAAATTATACATAGTGGTATAGCCTGTTATTCCTTGCATTACAAGACTTGCTTTTTAAATACTATAATGCATACTTTCCTATTTAATAAATCCGGCCAGTTGAAGCGAGCAAGGGAGAAACTCTTTCAAAAAATCACGAAAAAGGTAAATCATTGGATTCATTGCACAGTCGATTATATAATAATGCGAAATTATATCATGCATAAATATACGTACATGAAAGGAATTGACATTGACGACGGACAAAGGGGGCCGCACGCGCAGATCCGCCAGAATGAGCGGACTGAGGATCCTCGCCTCGTACATCTCGCGGTACTTGAAGTCCTCTTCACCGTCCGCCAGCATGTGCGTCGTCTGCTGCGACGAGGATCCATGAGGGGATCCCGCAGCATGGAATCGGTACCTGTTGAGATCCACCTCGTCGTGATCCGGTGACGAGGACATGGACACGAGTCTGAGTCGGGATTGCTCCTTTTGCATCCGGATCCTTTGTTCCGTGAAGCTCTTCACTGCTGCCGTGGCTGAGCGGAAAGGGATCCTGTCCACGTGGGCCCCATAGAAATGGTTCAGCATGCTCTTGTAAAAGCCCAGCGGAGGACCTTTGCTCTGTATATGCGGAAAGATTGGTGGCATGATATGAGGACACACTAAATCTATACCATTTGACATTCAGTGAGACCCCCGACATACGGACGATTTGACTTCGGGACGCTACTTGAAACCAATTTTGGCTGGGGTGGGGCTCTGGTCAACATATTTTTTACACTGCTCCAGAAGTCCCTGCTTCTTGCAAATTTTCGATGAATTTGCTTCGAAAGATTTTTTTATACCTAAAAAAAAGTAGCCCTAACATCCGGAGAATGTCTCAAAATACGGAAAATTTCCAAGTATATCAAAAAATGGAATTTTTTTTATTTCAGTGATAAATAAATAATAAGAAATAATATTTTTATAATAATTAAAAATATAATGATAAAATATAATAATAATAATAAAAATATAATAATAATAATAAAAATATAATAATAATAATAAAAATATAATAATAATAATAAAAGTATAATAATAATAATAAAAATATAATAATAATAATAATAAAAATATCATAATAATAATAATAATATAATAATAATAAAAATATAATAATACTAAAATATAATAATAATAATAATAAAATGTAATAATAATAAAATATAATAATAATAAAATATAATAATATTGATGAAGTATAATAATAATAAAATATAATAATAATCATAATACAGTAATCATCATATAAAATAATAATAATCATCATATAAAATAATAATCATCATATAAAATAATAATAATCATCATATAAACTAATAATAATCATCATATAAAATAGTAATAATCATCATATAAAATAATAATAATCATCATATAAAATAATAATAATCATCATATAAAATAATAATAATCATCATATAAAATAATAATAATCCATCATATAAAATAATAATAATGATAATAATAATAATGAAGAATAATATCACAAATAAATTTATTCATTTTATTATTCATTTCATGAGAATCTTTTTGGACAAGAATTTTGATATTCCTTCAACAATTGGAGTTACAGTTATTATATTCATAAAAAAATCAGTATAAATGTATTCCATGTCTTGATCAAAAAGAGTCGAACTGCTGTGCAATGCTTCTTTTTCATGATTTTTTTTCCAATCATCTGTGCACAGAATACCAAGTCTTGTTCTTGTTCCTTGCTTCTTGAGCTCTTTTTGATGCCAAATATCAGCAGATTCTCTGTGGTTTTCTTCTGCACAATTATTTTCTGTATCTTGAAGTCGAGGAAAATAATTTTTATTCAAAATTTCGGGAGACTCATTCCAAATTTTTCATTGGCAGGACAACCAATTAATATGTTTGCATTGAAGTCTATTGGAAGATGTGATCAAACATGTGGATGCTCCGACATATGTACAAGGTTCAAGCACCAATTACGTCCGCATCTCGAGGCCTCCATTATACTGTATATACTGAACCACGAGTACTCGGCTACTATAATGGGTCACAAAAACGCCTGACATCAGATGTTGCCGTTATATAGAGGCTCTCGGAGTGGTCTGATTTATTTATTTTCAACCTTGATACATATATACACCAGACAAGGGAGGTTTCAACCATATGGTTGTGCTTCTTACCTCGAAGTACCCGTCACACGAGTACCGTACTATATTCAGGACTGAGAGGGTAACAGTTACTCACCCGCAATAAAGAATGGTAGACCCCCATTACGCGGTACATTTATATTTTTTAAACCTAGAAAATGGGTCGTAAAATACTCTGGTTTCAATATTCGTGTCTTTAATATTCGTGAGCTTATCCGTGCGAGAGGAAAATCATAAATCCGAGTGATTCAATATACCCATGCTATATGCCTCGGGGTATTTTTTTCTCACAGTACTTGAATAAAAAGGATATCGAACATCAATGTACGTGCTACTTATTTCAAAATATCCCTATAATGAGAAATTTGGGGTAGTATATGATTTAAATCGTAATTGAACTCACTCTAAAAATATATATAATAAGTAATACTGCGTATACAGTACTACATCCAAGGAAACCCGCATTTGTAAATTTTCTTCTCACCAGCTGAACAAAAAGTTCGTGGATCACAGCTGCGTTCAAATGAGGATCATTCACCAAATCTGCAGTCAAATTCCGGTTGAACAAATGCGCATTGAAGGACCGCGGCTGGTCCAATTTCAGCAGCCTGTCAAGCTCTTCTGCAGTCTGTCCTCTCGTGCCTGTGCATCATGTCAAAAAAGAATAAAAATTTTGATTCTAGTTTTTCTGCATCATTCACGGTTTAAAAAAAAATACAGTACTGTACAGTCAACCCCTGCCTAACGAACCTCCTGCATAATAAGGAATATTTGCCTCACAGACTGCTTCTGGAGGCAGTTTTTCCTCTCGTCTGATGGACAAAATCTGCTAAACAGACTTCTGTTGGTTTTAAACTAATGGTAAAAAATTAAAAATTTTAAATTTTTAATAATGGAATTAGCATGACAGCCTTTTTGCACAACAGACTAGTCTGTTGTACGAATTGACCTCATGTGTGGGGTTTGACTGAGCATGTTTTTGTCTGCTATAGTTAGTCAGAGACCTGGTCTGCAGACCAGAGCCAGGCATTATAAGTTTTTGCCATTGTATGGGAAATTTTCTTCAGCATCACACATTTATCTAAGGCAGGGATGAAGTCTTATCTCTTTACAAAATTTTGGAAAGGCATGGGAAGTTGAAATTATGTGATATAAAATAAAATAAAAATTGACTTTTCTCCTGCTACAGTAGAACAGGGATAACTCAAGCCTCCTTATGTCAAATGCCTCCCAAAGGCAAATGTTTTCGAATTTCAGCCTGAATTCTCTTAGAAAAAATGCCTTCAGAACCTCATACTTGAAGGCTTTTCCTCTGGCAAAACTACATAACTCATAATTTTCTGATGCCTTTTGACAATTATTTTCTTCGCACAGGAAAGAGAAAAGCAATAACTAAGTGACGATGTGTTTTGAAAGAAATAGAGAGACTAATATGCGGCAAATGGACCCTTGCTATATAAGTTCAGTATCCTTTCAAAACATATAACAAGCAATTCAAGGCCCAGAATATCACCATTTACAATTTTCTGCATTTCTTTTATGTTTCTCGTAACAAAAAATGATTGTTTCCTAACTCCAAACCTTTCAAATTCAATTTTTGCTGGTCCATTGAAATCGAATCACAGAGAGGTTTGACTCAATAATTCAGACAAATTTTCACCTCCTGCAAGGAATTATTTGAAGTATTCATTCTGAGAAACCAATTTTGAAATCCAGCTTTCTGATTTCTTGAAGATATTTCATTATATTGGTACTTCATCAGTTCTCAACCCAATTTTTCCAAAAAAGTTTGGCTGTAAAACTTCTTAGTATGTACAGTGTTTCAAAAATTTCTGCTCGTCCATAATTTTAGGGAAATATTGGCAGTTACGAAAAAAATGGAAATCTGCTAGTCAGGGAAACAAAAACTATGAAAATTTGCCAGTCTGGGTGCTCAAAAACGTTGCGGATCACGGATTCCTAATAACTCACCCAGAAAGAGTGCAGATAAAATAGAGGAGAGTCCGAAGGGAGACGTGACCAAGTTTTCCTCGGAAAACTCCTTAACGAGTTCTCGGTAAGCCTTGAACCCGAGCTCGTTGTAGTTGTGCACAAACTCTTTGACGTCGTCCAGCAAAGTGTTGAACTGCTTCTCCAGGCCCAAGTGGCCCTTGGGCACCGCGTCAATGAGTTCTTGCGTCTGCGAATGAGCATGGTCCTGATGATCGTGATGGTCGTGGGAGTGATCGGGGTTCTGGTGCTGGTCGTGGTCGCCGGAATGGTGGTGGTGGTGCTCATGGTCGTGGTCATGGTCGTGGTCGTGGTGGTCGTGCACATTGCCGTGCAGCGCCTCTGTGCCGTTGTTATCATCGTGATGGTGGTGCTCGTGGTCGTGTTGAGAAATGGGCCTGACCCTGATTCCGAGCCCTGGGTGCTGTGGTTCCACCTGGTTGATCATAGAAATGGGATAATTATGCTGTAAGATGTGATCAAGACCCAGATTGCTTAATAGTACTGTATAGTCATTAAAATCCTTACAGAGAACCTGGATCCATGTCTAGAAGCAATAAAAATTCAATATTAAAATATCAGTCCTTTTGTAATCAAAAATAGATAAAACAAAAGCCAATTCAAAAAATCTTGCCATTAAATTTATTCTCATCAATAGGGATATTGTTGTATTTTTGTGTACAATAAAATAAAAATTGGAAGAAGAAAAATATCCATAAATTTTTTTTTCAGGGATATCATGATTCAAAAATTTGCAAAGGTCCAATTTTCCAATGCATTTTCCGAGAAGGATTGCATTAAAATTTGACTATGCGGCAAAGAGATCAGAAACAGGTTTGACTGATCACTGCATGTATTGTATTTTCCATCTTCATTTGGTTTTCCAATTTAGTGTGTACAGATTGACACTCTGCAACACGATTCAAGGGATCAGAAAATAATTGGTTTAGAGAGATTTTTGCAGCAGAGAACCCCAATAACATGGGACAAGAACCCTATGGGACCAAAACATAATTATATATGGGGAACATTGTTGTAGACAATACGATCATTGTAGAGAGACTCCACCTGTATCTTTTATTCCTTAGACAGTGGGAGATTAATTCCCATCCCTTGGCAAAGTCAGAATTTTTCCAGCACAGGCAAATTTCAGTTTGACCAATAGTCACTAAAATGCCCCTGAGTTGCAAAGGGCTCCATTGGGAAATATCCAGGAAAATAAATATTTTTTATCAAAAATAAGTCATGATAATCCCATGCTAGGAATGCAGGAAAAAAGGCCATGGAGTGAGAGATTTAATTTCATTTTCCGGCTAACATTGTCTGCCAAGAGAGAACAACTGAGACTTTTATAATACTTGACTTATTATACCTAAGCTCAAAAATTAGGCTGTTTCTCTTTGCTGTGCACATGGGCAAAAGTATCCAGATTTTGACGCAGAAGGTTAAGTTTCATGAGATCTACAATACAAACAAGCTAGTCAAAATGCTCAGTTTTTGGGTGAAAAAAAAAAGAAAACCACAATACAGTGAGACCCCCAGACGCAGACATAATTGGTTCATCAAGAGTGTCCCTATGTTGGATTGTCCCCAAGTCAAATCTTGTTTTCCCATAGACTTACATTGTATAAGTTTTAATTGGTGTTTCATGGAAGAAATATTCTTCCGAATTTCATGAAAAAATATTTTTGTCACTTGAATTTGATTCAATGAATATCTTTTCAAACCAATAAGAACCTTTGGAACATTGAAGAGTGTACCTCTGTACAGTAAATTGAAAAGGTGGCATCTGGAAAAATAACATCCATGTCACAAAGAGAGCTATAGAAGGAAGTCCTTTTGTGCTATAGGGCATTTTTTAATTAGCTGAATGGATGGGAAAATGATGGGGAAAGTACCAAAGAATTTTTCTTGCATAGATCTTATTGGGCCCAAATGGGCCACAATATAACTTGATGTCAAGTGTTTGGAATGAATGGAAATAAAACAAATAAATCAGTCCGGGACTGGACCGGGATTCCTTATTGGAATTCCTACTTTAACGGGAATTGTATTTCGGATAAATGGATAAGTCAACGACTTCACGAGCTCGGGCTTGTAACAATGGCGTACATGCCCAACATAAATCCCCCCTGTTTCATCAATGAGCGTGACAAGCTCTTTGATGGAACATAAGTGCTCTTAAACGCCATGACAGTACGCCGGAAAATGGAATCTATCAGTGCAAAGAGTAAAAAGTGAATCAGTTTAAGGGATGCCTGACAAATCCGAGCTCGCAAAGAAGGTCCCAAGAATTGTGTTCTAAAGAAACAAAGGAGTGATCAAGTCCTCAATTTCTCCGAACACTAACACAAATTTGTAAACTTTCACAGAAAAACATTGCGCGTGCGCGAAGAATACGAGAAAACATCAGTGAGAACAAAAGACAACAAAAGACGGAAAGAGAGTTCGCGAAAACAACACTCGGGAGTAAAGTGATGGCAAATCCAGAAGACAACATGGACGTGGTGAACGTATTCGCCGCCGCTGCAATGGTAGAAGCCGAAAACGAAGAACCAGGCAATCCAAATGGTAAGACCAGTGTTGACCACCTCCATGAATTGCTAAATTTTCAAAAAGAATTTGCCAGAAGCGCGGGCCCAACCATCGTAATTGGTGGCTTACGGAGCCATTACCACCGTGAGGGCGCTAAAAGTAGTCTTTTAATAACAAACTACTGTAACATGGTGCCCGAAAAACCATAAAAAGACTGAAAGAATTGCATACTTCATAATTTTACAGGGAATGAATCAAACAAACATGAAGAACGAACAGTGAGGTTCCCGACGATTGCAACCGACTTCATGAATGAGCTGGAGAAGCTGAGCTTGGACTTGTGGAAACGTCTCGTGGAATGCTTGGCAGTGATAAAAAATGAATTCCTGTGCGACAGAATGATAGAAGGATCACAAGCCTCGTTGAACCGAAAGAAGGCGAAGTTAATGTCAGTGGAGGAAGAACATGTGAAACTGGCACAGTCGGAAACGACAATGGTAACAACGCTAAACGCCCGTCGTTGCCTAATTGAAGACTCAAACAAGGCCGAAACTGCAGCAATGACGAGATTACGAAAGGCCTTTACGGCAATAACGAAAGTGGATCGAGATCACCTATTGCGAGGTTTTATGGAACCAACAGAACTGTTCCTAAGTTTGAACAACAATGACGAATTAAAGAACATGGGTATGTAAAAAATATTGAGAACTAAGAATAGTTTTAGAAAGAAAGTCTTATTTTGCAGGCGATACAATTGAAATAAAGTTGGGAAACGTAACGCTACACGTGGGAAAGGAAAGAGCACTAGAAAAAATCTGGCGTGAATCCTTAAAACTACACGTAGAACCCGACTTGGAAAGAACAGGTATATAAGAAAGCGAAAAGATAAAGGAAGAGCAATAACATCTGGAATTATATTACAGATATGTCACAAATGGAAGTAATTGAGGGCGGAACAATTAACCTGGGAACAATCGAAGCTTCCGCCGTGTTCATTCTGGACAAGGAGGATCCCAAAGAAAACAAAGTGGAGGCGATAATGAACCCGAGCGCAATTGCACTGGGGCCAAGAACAAGGGACGGATACGGGTTCGGTAAATAGAAAACTTGAAAGTGTAAAAAGTTAGAACGAAGTTAATAGTCTGTTTTCTTATGTAGTGCACTTGTCGATGATCTTCAGGATCTCAAAATTCTTTCCAATTTCACCACCGAATTATTTTGCCAACGTAGCGGCAGAAATGGGATTGACTCATGAAATCTATGGAGAGTTAAAAGGGAAGAGCATTGACCTGCCTATCCCAGGCACAATCGTCGACAATTACAAATTTAGCACAGAACGAACCCTGATTGAAGGAGAACCACGACGAAATTCCTCGAAAAAAGCCATCATGCTGATTAGTACCTCAATGTGCAGTACCTTTCATTTTGGGGGAAAAAAGGACAGTTATCGAACTAGAGTAGACTGCGAGGAATGGGTACATTACCCTGTGATGGATGTGGGATATGGATGTGGGTGGACGATCTAGACGTCGAGATTTTACAAGTAAGAACGTTTAAAAGGAAACCTGAATGAATATACAGTAAATTTTATTGCAATTACAGTGGACTATGAGTGGGTGGTCGTTAGTCGTCGGAAACGGAGTGATGTCTGCGGAATGTCTGAGAATGCTAATTGAACATGATCTAAACCTGGCGCCAGACTTTAAATTTGCACAAGCATACATCAGAGGAGGGACAAACGACATTAAACAGCTAATAAAGGGCACAGAAGGAGGAGAGATAAAATCATTTAATGATTTCATGGAAAAATACTCGAAGTACCTGAAGGAAATATCAAAGTACTTTAAGTGCCCAGCAATTGCATTAGGCGCTTCCCTACCATGCTTGAGACCAGAAGTGAACAGGACAGTCGAATTGGTACGAGATGAAAAAGGGATTCCACTAATTCCACTAAGGTCGGTAAACAAGGAGCACATTAATACGACTACAAAAATGGAGGCAGCTCGAGTGTATCAAGAAGCATTATACGCGGAATTGGAGCGCCGAATTGGCATTTTGCAAGAAGCGGACGAAAATCACAAAGGCTGGTGGGCAATTCCCACACCAATTGACTATTTACGTCGTTACAGCAAGACCCATGGGAATTTGATACAATTTGGACACCTGACACCGAATGGGATTCTCGGATTTGCACGAGACCACAACGTGGCATTTCGTGCAGGCCTGAGTTTATTAAAAACACCCAACGACTATCCAATTTACCCGTGTGTCGGACGCCCACCTTATTGGTCATGTAACGGTGGAATTGTAGAAGGGCGAAAAGCATCTGCTAAACATACCCACACAGGAACGGCAGGAAGAACGGGACAATGTCTGGTGATGCCGTATTACGTGAATCCTGATGCAACGGGAGCAGAAGGAAACATTTTCAAGTAAGAGACAAAAGTGAAAAAATTGAAAGAATATAAACTAATGAAAAAATGTATGATTACAGAAAATTCATGACATCAGAATGGTTTCTACAAGAAGAACCATTTAATTTGGAAATAATCTTGCCCCGAGCCAAGAATGCGGATACAACAACACCGTATCATCGTCTAGCAGTGGGAAGTTTGGTAGAACTGAAGACATCACCGATTTTGGGAATTGTGATGATAATGACTGAAGCGGGTGTGTGGGTTGTGGGAAAGGAGGGTCGACAATTTTATTTCTATGAAAACATCTTGCGTGTTTTAAGTCACGGGTTTACAAGAAGAACCATTTAATTTGGAAATGATCTTGCCCCGAGCCAAGAATGCGGATACAACAACACCGTATCATCGTCTAGCAGTGGGAAGTTTGGTAGAACTGAAGACATCACCGATTTTGGGAATCGTGATGATAATGACTGAAGCGGGTGTGTGGGTTGTGGGAAAGGAGGGTCGACAATTTTATTTCTATGAAAACATCTTGCGTGTTTTAAGTCACGGGTATGTCTAAGAAGGGACATGAGGAAAACGAAGGCATTAAGTTGAAAATTATTTTGGTCAGTGAATCTCAGTGAATACTGATCTCGAATGAGTATGTCAAAGCTAAAGTGACATAAACAAAATTTTGAGTCAAGACAAAAAAGATTTGTAAATTTGAACGAAGTACAAGAAGCTACCGCCAAAGCGCTACCGATTGTGTTTTTTGCCAAATTGCGTGTTCGTGAAGAAATGAGTTGAATCCGCTACCAATTTTGTTACGACCGAAATAAAAATGATGTAAAGCTACTCAAAGCACATGCTAATTTGATTGACAGCACAGTACTCAACAAGAGCAGATAAATGCTGAACACGATGGTCAAGAAGACCATCCTGTTGAGGAACATCCATTTCTAGAGGTATAAGATTTTTAATTGATTGATTCTTTAAAACTAGAGGTTCAGATGATGCAGAATTGTCATGTGTAGGAGATGCTGTAACAATATCCACGGACCTAATTAAACCATCACGGGGACTACGGTAAATATTTAAAATGCGACATAACTTCCATTTAAGGCGTTCAAAAGGGGAATCTTTTTTAAAACTAGGACGATTAAAGAGAGCAACTTGACCCTCTTTTGGCTCAAGAGCCGAATGCTTACCAAGGGTCATAGTAAACTTTCGCAAATTTTTGATATAACCATCCTCAAAAGTGAGCCATAATTTAGTAAAAATCTTTAAACGAAACAGAGCTGCCCTGGTAAATTCACCAGTATTATCTATTTCAAGAAACTTTAAAGGCTGAGGACCATAAGAAAACGGGCTTAATCGCCAATCAGCTTTATGAATATGAAGAAACATGGAAGGAGAAATTACCATAGGAGAATTACGATCAGCAGATTGATATGTTAAGGGACGAGAATTAATTAAAGCCTCAACATATTTGACAGAAGCATAAAGAGTGTTAGCATTACTGTAAGGAATACCCTGAAAAGTACGAGCATATTTATCTTTAATCATACGCATTAAGCGTTCAAAAATTCCACCCCACCAAGGTGCCCGGGAAGCATTAAAATGCCACCGAGTCCTCGGGAAATGGCGCTTAATACGTTTTTGATTTAAAGTAGTTGCAAAGAACTTTCTCCAAGTAGCCTGAAAAGTCTTAGCATTATCAGAAATCACAGTAAGGGGACAAGTATCACGACTAAAACAAAAACTTTCAAAAGCACCAATGAAGTGTTCAACGTCTACCCGTTTAACAGGTTCAAGATGAATAGCACGTGTAACCGTACACGTAAAAACACA